AAAAAACTTTTATAATAAAAGTTATAAAATATGTTTTCAAGAATATATTCTATAATAAACATATATTTTAGAATATTTATTAAAATAACCAGTAGTGATAAGCACTACCCTCACGTGATATATAATTACACATACGATCAACTACACATCATACGATCAGTTGCACGTCATACATTTGATCAGACAAAACTTGAACTTACTTGAACTTGTACTTCATTAAGAGCGTATTTTTTGCATACTAATGCTAATTTTCTTTGATCACAACTCCACTTAAATATTTGTTTCACTTGTTTAATCACAACTTTTTCTTTGCTGTTTTCTTTTTGTCTATAGCGACGTGTCGTATTAAGGTCATTTTTCACATTACTAACACTGATTCACTGTAATCACGACCCTTTTTATTGTTGTGCTATTTTTATTTGCCAATATTCACAACCCCACTTATATATTCGTTATACTGCTTATTTTAATTACAACTTTTTTTCTTTGCTGTGTTCTCTTTGTCTTTAGTGACATGTCGTATTAAAGTCATTTTCATATTACTAACACTGATTCACTGTGATTACAACCACCTTTTATTGTTGCACTTTTTTTGCTCACCAATATAATTACACGTCATTCTTCCTTTCTTGTTTCTGTGTTACACATTTCTAGTGCTGGTCTATGAAAGAAATTATGAAAGATGTATAGTATTTAAAGAATACTATTTAAAATGTTGAGTTTTCTATTTCTAAACCTTTTTTTTTTGGAGATACAGATTTTTCTAAACCTATAAACAGCTCTCTGGTTGATTTTGAAATTACAGATAGTATGAGTATGGAATTGGAAGCTTCTGAAACAGAATTATTTTCAGAAATTGATCCAACTAATGAACAGGGCCTTCAAATATCAGATGCGTAGTATTTAAAGAATACTATTTAAAATGTTGGGCTTTCTATTTCTAAACTTTTTTTTTTTTTGGAGATACAAATTTTTCCGAACCTAATAGTATGAGTATGGAATTGGCAACTTCTGAAACAGAATTATCTTCAGAAATTAATCCAACTGATGAACAGGACCTTCAAATATTGGTTGGCGATTCTTACAATTCGTGAGATAAGGCTGAGGCATGCTTTAATAGTTATGCTAAAGCTACGGGCTTTTCATTACGTAAAAAAAAGGTTGACAGTTAATGATGATAGTGAAGTTAGACAACGTACCTTTGAGTGTACATATTCTGGTAAAGTTACTAGCAATAAAGTTATCAATCTTTCCAAACAACATGATCGAAATTCAAGAAAAGCAGCCTGCTCCTAGCATATAAATCTGTCAAAACCAAAGTCTTCTATGGTTGTTGTTATTACAAATATTATAGAAAAGCATAACTATCAAATACAGCCAGATATAACTCTATATGCTCCAAAATACAAAAAGCTATCTTCAGAGATTTTAGAATTAATAGAGTTTTATGTTAAAAAGGAAATATGGGGTCTAAACAAATCTTACCACTCTTAATAGCAAAATTTTCTAACCATATAATTCATAAAATAGATTTTTACAATGCAGTCCAAAAATTTCGAACAACATCTAATCAACGTTATGGAGAAGTGCAGCAATTTATAGATTGCTTGTTGCAGTTAAAAAACCAAGATCCAGGTTGGATTGTCAATATTAGAATGGATTCATATGATAATAGGCTGACGGGAGTTTTCTGGATGTCACTAATGCAGCAACAATGTCTAATTCATTATGTTGATGTTGTTCAAACTAACAATACATGCCAAACCAATTGGTTTGGCATGTATCTTACACTTTTAATAGTAATTGATAATAACACAAGGACCAGCTGGTAGGTCAAGCATTATCTGATGATAAAACCACTGAAGCATAAGAATGGTTTCTTGAATGCTTTATAAATACAATACATAATATGCCTCTTGTAGCTTTGTTTTAGATGCTGATCCTGCACTAAGTAGTGCCATTTCTTTAAAACTACCTACTACATATCATTTTCTATGTATTTTCCATATTCAGAAAAATATTCACAAAAATTTACGAGCAAGCTTGGAAAACAGTTTGAGGATTTTTATAAGAAATTTTTACATACACGAAATAGTGTATTTGAAGAGGATTTTCATAGGCGATAGTTACGTTATTAAACAAATATTCTCAAACAAATAATTATTTTGGTAGAATGTTACAGGGTGTATTAAATCATGGGCCTGGTGTTATTAATTAAAATATTTCATGGCAGGAGCTCAAAGTACCCAACGTGTTGAGGTAATGAACTGACTGATTAAGGAAGGTATAAAAAGCACTTCTTCATTGCGTGTCCTCTATAAACATATACAAAATTTATTAAATAATAAAGCTAGGTGGTCATGACATAACAATTATTTAAATTCACTTCCTACTAATCAGGCACTGACAGTTGTCAAGTCAATATTTTCAAAGGTTTTGGAAATATTGAAATAGTATTTAACACCTTATATATTGCAGTCAGGGAATATACCAAATTTGGAAATTGATTCTAGAACAGTTCTAGAATGATCTTCATAAAATCTTTGAACTGTTATTGGCTCTTAACAATCCCTTTAAAAGTTAAAATTTGAAAGCTTTCGCAATAACTAATAATACCTAAACATATATACAAAGAAAGTCGAAAACTTATAGTCACATAATCAGTTAAAATATTTTAACAAGCAGCATTTTCTAAAAAGGTAGATGCTACCCGAAGTTCTATAAGAAGTTATATATAAATTTTTTAAATTTTGTATCTAAAACTTTTTTTTTACTAAAATACAACTCAAGATTAACGACATCACAATCTTCGGCAACTCAAGTAAAGCCAAGAGCTCAAGATCTCCCTGTCTCTTTAGTTATTTGGTTGATAAATATAGCGATCTTAGCTTGAGACTATGTGAAATGAAGTATTACAAACTTGGAGATACGCAGATACTTTAGGAGTGACTAAACGGGTTAATTATATGAAGAATTCATGTCTGAATTGAAACTTTATTTAAACTCTCATTCAATTTGTGAAGAGCATTATAATCAAACTATAGCTTCTAACCATTTTTATCGACATTTTTTAGATAATTCTCCTTCCAAGAATAAAGGTCATAATCAGATGCAAGTTCTAATAAACCTGATTTTACTAATGACTCTATAATTGTTGAATTGTAGCAGAAGCTTGAGAAACAACAAAATAATGAATATATAAGATCTTTGCTAGGAAAATAACCCTCTGATACTATGTTGATTTTGTGAATATAAATTAAATTTGCTACAAAATAAAATAAATGTTTATTCAAATTGGATAACCAGATAGTTGGCAAATTTAATTTTTATTCACAAAATTAACATAGTCTCAGAGGGTCATTTTTCTAGCAAAGATCCCATATAGAGTTTCAGAATTACAACGGCAGA